AGTGCATGTAACTTATTTTGTTTCACCAGTTTAGGTAATGTGATGGTTTCGAGTGCAATTTGGTTAAAACATGCATGATTGCATGAGTTTTTAAAAGAGCATCAAAATAGCACGAGTCCGAAGGAAAAGTGATATTTGAGGTCTTTGTAAAACTCATGAGTGCTTGTTTTAGCCACATTTTAAAACGAGAAACCACCTTATCCCTATTGCAGATTAATAATAATTATACATAAAAATGTTCGAGACAATTGTAGTTTTATAACTTACGTTAAAGTGTAAATGTTATATCTTATTATTATACAATGTTAACGGCTTGAAAATTTCACTCAACTATTTAAGTTTGCCCTGTCTTATTTTAAAGTAAACTTTTTTTCCATTTTAAAAAGGATAAATGCCATAATTGCCACCCGAACTCAACTTTTACTTTTCTTATGCTTTGAAACAATCAACGTTTGTAATGCTTTGAAGCAATCTGTGACCGTTTCTTAACGACTGCTTTAATTAAGGTAATTGTTGATCTTAGATTCCTATTGTGTTTTCTAACCAGATCAGTTTCTTACAGATCTTTGTACTGTTGTTAAAGTTTTTTTCACTGTTTTAACAGAACTTGGCACTACTGTTTGAGAATAATTGCACTGAAATCAACCAATCGCAGTCGAGTAAATATTTTTATTTATTATTAAGGTAAAAACAGTTTATCGACAAAAGATGTTCCGGCTGTTGATGAACATTTCAGAACGTTTAACGAAGCGTTTCAGATGAAATTTCACATTAAATCAAAGCTAACAAATTGCAAAATAACATGAATAGCTGCAGTATATATTTAATAAATTGATTGTTGTATACTGTAGTTAAATGTAGTAATCTTTCAACTGTGTTCGCCATTTTTACAACTGACACAACGACACAACGTTTTCTGCGCTCAGTGTTGGTCACTTACTAATACTTCATGTTATATCAAAGTTTTGAGAACCTAGCCGAAGTGTGTAGTTGCATGCATGTATTTTCTATTACTAATACTAACAATATAATGGCGGGGGCATTAGTATATATCTGATCCTTATGTCCTAATCTTAATGTTAACCCTATAGTCGTCCATGGTGCGAAAAACTATTCTATCTAGTCAATCAATCTATCAAACATACATAGCACAGCGTCAAGCGACCAGTGAAACTTGGATTTCAATTCCTCGTCCTTTTGATAAGGGTTCCGGGTCCTCAATTCCAACCGAATATTTGTTGCACCACACGGAAGTTTCTTGCAAGTTTCTAAAAAATAATTCCAACTGCTTATGCGTAATTGGATTGCATTATTATTGTGCATGCTAAGAGTTATCCAACAGGTCATTGCAGAGAATAATAACGCATCATATTAGCGAAGGCACAACTATATAGAGCGTGAAAATGCAAATGGTATGACATGCTTCAATTTCTTTTACCACCAGAATACGAAATGAAATTAAATTGAATATTAACATATTAATCTTCATACGCGTGCATCCAACAGCGGATCTAGGAGATCTGCAGCCCCCCCCCCCCCAAAAAAAAAAAGAAAAGAAAAGGAGAGCAAGACGCGTATTAAAATATTCGAAAATCCGGGAAATATGTAACGTCGCGAAAATTTTCGTTCCCCTCCCGTCACCATGGCGATAGAAATGTTGTGAATTTTATGACGAGAATTTGTTTTGTCTCGAACGCGCAATATTAATTCCCATCAAGGTCGAATAAATTTATGTCCACAACGCCAATTTTTCCTCTCGTACACCTATATGTGCTGTCGCTCTTAGAAAACTTTAAAAAATTAAGAAATTTTAATTTTTTTTATAATATAAGTGGGATATAACCGACAATTTGTTTGGCTAATGCTCGTGCATTGTGACCCAATAATGCACTGTGGTCCGTGGCACTGCCTTGTTCTTTCTGTGTTTTCCCCACGCTTCATCTCTGCTTTTTAGCCATAAATTAAAAAAATACAAAATGTATCAGAAAGCAAGAAGGAATAAACCAAAGGAAGAGAGCAATTTTATCTGTAGTTCTACGGGTAAAAATAGTAAAATTAACTGACTTGGCATTCGTCGAATTTGTTTTTTGTCACCGCGAGTTTTGGGGGAAAGCGTGCAAATTAGCCAAGAAAACCTTTGAAAAAGATACAGGAATACCAAGATGAAGTCGTTACTGCCCTATCTTGGCCTTGGTTTGAAATTTACTATTATATACAATGAATGAGTTGGCTCTTCTTCACCAGAAACGAATATTGGTTTTCCTGGCTCTTATATCGAAAACTCGAAAATTAAAACTGAGCAACGATTTAACGAAACATACGATTTAACGTCTTTCATGGCAAATCCAGCAGCTCAGAAGCTGAAAAAGTTTCGCGAATTAGTCCGGGTATTACTGAAGTCCCCCCCCCTCGAATTTTAAACAGTTTCTCCGCAACTTTAGGTGCAATATTTCATCAAAATGGCATCAAAATTTTGTATTTGTTTCAATTCCAGTTTTTGCTACTTCGCTCGCTTAAAAATTCAAGCGACAGTAAAAGCATGGGCGTGACGTCATTGAGTATATGTTACGAAAATTTCAATGTCGATTTTTTTAGTAAAATTGTTTACTATGTGATATATTCTACATATATACATACAAAATATCTTCAACATTATAAAAGAAATAGAAAACCTCGTCGCGTGCGTTTATAATGTGATCTGATGCACTCTGGAAATGTTGAGAGAATACTCGAAAAGTGTGTAAAACACTCGGCTATATAGTGTTATACAGGGTATATCATAAAAAACGGAGTCCTTGCTTCAAATATAAATTTCGAAACGAATATTATAGAGTAAAACGTTCAGGTTTAAATTTGTTTTAAAGCATAGACATTCAGCTTTCCAACGATATATGGGTTGTTTCGTAAATTTAATCCAGTAGTTCGTGAATAATAGTATTTTAAGTGCTTGCCATTGGAGAGTCAAAAATTTGAGATGCAATAACAAATCGGTACTTGATGAAAATAACTTATTTTGTCAACAAAACGAGCAAATTGAGGCATTTTGGCAATAGCTTGTAAAAACTAAGTAATAAAGGCTTCCAATACACTATTTTAAATTCACTTGCTGACTTCAAATGCGTTTATATTCCCAGCTGAAACGTGTTTTAGCTTGCCGTCAACTTGCTAATTTATGTTTACATTGCGCCCGATTCGATGGGGCAACAAGAACATTAAAGTTTGAACAAGAAAATTCAAACATTGTAACCGACTATGGAATATCATATAGGTTTTACTAAATTTTCTCCTGTGCAGTTATTACTTGCACTAAAGACACGGACGACCATTTGTTCGAAAGATAAATGAGCAGTATATATATATATATATATATATATATATATATATATATATATATATATATATATATATATATATATATATATATATATATATATATATATATATATAAATATTAAGCGCCTGATAATTGATAAATAATCAGTGCGAGCACAACGGCACCAAAATAAAAACAAATAACAGAATTTAAGGTAAAGTAAAAAGCAGCAAGGCTTTACCTACCTCGATCTATTTTTCTAAGGCTATAAATTACGTAAATTTTCGACGAAAAATCAATATTTCCTTTGCGTTTCCTCGACGAAATCCGTGACCAAAAACGTGCATATTAAAGTTTCACATCACATGAAAATTTTCGTCGGAAAAACTCGAATCTGTCACGTGATTTAGCACCGCCGGTACAACGTCCGCACAACCGGACACTTTGATATTCAAGTAGTAACTGAAATTTTGCTTTGTGAATCTTATGTCATCTATTTTATCTTCAAGTGATTCAATGACTTTTTATAAATGCTAAGCATTGTGTTGGAAATATTCAAGATATTAATAATTCCCCACTCGATTGCCCATGCTAGAGTATAGATTTGTGTTGTTGGAAGGCTAGGATAACCAAGTTCGTGACTGCGCGAGTTGTGGTATTTACATAAACATATTCCATGCAAGTATTTAACTGCATGAAGACTCGGTCTATTGTGATTTGCAGTATAATGCAACGCTGTATATAAAAAAATCTGTCTCACAAAACGCACTAAATTCAGCCATACTGCTAGTCGTGGGAAAATACAAAGATTTTATTGGGAAAATGCCTCCAGCCGCCCTCCCTCCACCCACCCTACTATTATATACGACGCCACGCTAACAATCATATGTCGCCAACAATAGGGTGCATCATATGCCCCATGATTTTCAAAAGATAATGCAATCAAATCTACCTTTTTTTTAGTGGTGAGGTTCATTCTAAGTAACAAAACTGTGAAGTTTAGAATTGATTGGACAAATTTTAGGGGTAGCAGGTGGCCCTTTAATATTACAGCATGTCACATGGGACGAAAATAGCCCAGATGTACCATATCTTAACTTAAGAAGACAATAGAGACTTGATTTTTGCATCAAAATATGCAGAAATCCCAGGTTTATATGTCACATGTTAATATTCTATAGGTCTGAAAGCTTTATTTTACAAGTTATCCTCTAAAACGTATTTTTTAGGTTGTTTTCATATTACAGTATTGGACTATTGGTACAAAAAGTGAGCATGTTCATAATTTGGTATACATTTTTACATGTCTTGTTTTGGTTGCAAATAATGAACTAAGTATGTCATGTAATTCCATGTTTAAAGACATCAATTCCTGTATTACAAAACAAAGATGGCGGACGTGGATATAAATATACAAAGCCAAAATGCAAGCAGACAAGTCTTATCTTTGTTCCATCAACAATAGTCTTGTTATCAAGTTTAAGTTGTTTGCAAATGGTACCTAATTTTCACCAATTCTTATTTGGCAACTGATATTCATGTTAATTTGAACCATTTGCCACACAGTACTGTCGACTATAGATCACTCAAGTGCCCATTAAAGGTTTTTACTAAGTGAAACTGAAAGAAAAGTTAAGGAACGGAAAGAACAGGAATTAAAAGGATTGAAATTCAAAAAGAAAGTAAGATGGATACTTCATGTTCAAATGCCACATTGAGCGATAGTGATAATGAAGAAGAGGCTAAAGAAGCACCTGATCCTCTATATTCTGTGCTAAAAGATCCCACAAGAGATATGTCAAAACTGGTATGACAGTTTTTATTCCTCGAAACATGCTAAAATCACCTAAGGTTGTTCAATCTCTTGTTAGAAACAACATTTCATCTTCTGCAATATCTTCTGTTGTGCACGACATTGTCACAGCAGTTGATGGAGATCCATCTAAACTTAGCCTTAGCTATGCAACAACACAAAGATATAGAGTTGAAACTGTCAAGACAATTGCAGATAAAATTAAGGAAAATTGGACTCCACCATCCACTGCAAACCTCCACTGCGATGACAAATTGATGGCTACCTTGGATGGTGCTGGTCAACAAGAAAGATAACTAGTTCTTCTATCAGGTGTTGGCAGGACAAAGCTGCTAGGAGTACCCGCAATTCCTCACAAGTCTACAGAAAAGACTGGGGATTTGATTTCAGAAGTTAGCATTGAATTAATAGAGGAATGGAATTGTGCTGAGTGTGTGGCAGGTATGGTTTTCGACACGACCAGCTCAAATACAGGGTGCAAAACTGCTGCATGTGTGGCGCTACAAAATAGACTCAATCGTCCCCTCTTATGGTATGCATGTCATCACCATGTTGGTGAAATCCTTCTGACTCATGTGTGGGATGCCTTGAAAATTGTGAAAAGTGTCAAAAAGTCCAGAAATTCTCCTATTTAAAAGATTGTTACCAGAGAAGTACCAGGCGGGAAGCGAATTCTAATGATAAATATTAAAGCCCAGCAAAGTGCTTTTAAAAGAGCCATAAACCATTAAATTTAAAATTTTTATTAAAGATTTAGTAACGTTTCGTCTTAACTCAAGACATCTTCAGACTATATTAAATTACAAGCTGTAAGAGTAATTAAGCATAAAGTAAAGTTATCATAGCAATATTAAATTACAAGCGAATACGAGGTACACAAAACGTAAGGATAAGAAAGGATAATGAAGGGAAGTGACGGACAAAAATGAGAACAGACAAATTAGACGACAACACAAACAGACAAAACATAAAAAAGAGATCAGAATACGTGAAGAGGAATTGAACTGCCTTGAACGTTGAGAGAGGGTTTCATTTTAGAGATAAAAAAGCTTTCATAAATAAGAAGTTCTTGTTCATCTGAACAAGAGGAGAGGATTTCGAAGTCGTCAATAGAAGCAGCGTGGCCTGTGGATGTGAGATGTGAGAAAATGCTGGACTGGGGAGGATTTTTACATTGTTTGCCAGTGATAGGAGTGATACCCAGGTGTTCCGAAACTCGGGTGTGTAGATGGCGCGTGGTTTGACCCACATACGATGCGGAACAGCATCGACACGTAAAAGAGTACACTACACCCGACCTCATTCTACCCGGCATTTATTAAGACCCGAATAAAAGACATAGCTCATTCTGGTTTCCGGAGCTATAGTCGGCCGAATTTCTTATACTCGAAAGAAGAGATCAACATGCTAAATGACTTACGAAAAAACAGTAACATCGTGATAATGAGACCTGATAAAGGTAACGGCGTTGTTATTCTAAACAAAGATGACTACAACAAAAAAATGGAGGAAATTCTGTCTGATAACACGAAATTTGAACTCTTGAATGAAGATCCTGTCAAAGCAACACTACAGCGCGAAAATCATGTCAAGACTCTGCTGAAAAATCTGAAAACGTCTGAATCAATTGATCAAAAAACTTACAATGAACTGTATCCTACAGGTTCACGCTTAGGCATCCTGTATGGACTACCTAAAACACATAAATGTAATATCCCACTTAGGCCAATCCTTTCTTGCATTAATCATTATTCGTATAATATTGCTAAATTCTTTATTCCTCTTCTCACTCCCATCTCGACCAGCACTTATGTCATTAAGGATTCCTTCTCTTTCGTCCAGGAACTTCTTTCTTCTGATCTTGATACGAGTAATGTTATAATGGCTAGTTTTGATGTTACTTCACTCTTTACTAACATCCCTGTTGATGAAACGATTGAGATAATTACTAATCGTTTGTTTTCTAACTGTTGTAGATTTCATGGCCTCACTCGTTCTGATTTTACTAAACTCTTAAGTCTTTCTGTCAAAAATTGTCATTTCGTGTTCAATGGTCGTTTATATCATCAAGTTGACGGCGTAGCTATGGGTAGTCCTTTAGGACCTTTGTTTGCTAACATATTTATGTCCTTTCACGAAAAGGATTGGCTTCACAACTGTCCTTCGTCTTTCAAACCACTTCTCTATAGACGATATGTTGACGATTGTTTCCTACTTTTCCGTTGCTCAGAGCATGTACAGCTCTTTCTCACATATCTTAATCGCCAGCACACCAACATTCGCTTCACTAGTGAGGTTGAACGTGATGGTAAGCTCCCATTTCTTGACATTGACATATCCCGCTCCAATGGAAAATTTTCTACTTCTGTTTACCGTAAACCTACGTTTACTGGTCTTTTTACTAACTTCCATAGCTTTATTCCACTTACATACAAACGCAGCATAATATCTTGCTTAATACACCGCATCTTTAGCATTTGTTCTAGCTATGAGACTTTCCATCACCAACTTGAAGCAGCACGTAGAATGTTTATCTTAAATGGTTTCCCTTCTCATATGTTCGACCGATGTGTTAGAACTTTTCTTAACAAAGTATTTCAACCTAAGCTACCTGTTCATACTGTTCCTAAGAAAATAATTTATTTCTGTCTCCCTTTTACGGGCACTCACTCCTTGCAAATTCGCACGCAAATCAACCGTCTTTGTCGTGCTGCTTTCCCACATCTTGATATAAGATTTGTCTTTCGATCAACTAAACGGCTCTCAACCTTTTTCTCTTTTAAGGACAAAATACCCAAAGCACTGAAGTCGGGTTTAGTGTACTCTTTTACGTGTCGATGCTGTTCCGCATCGTATGTGGGTCAAACCACGCGCCATCTACACACCCGAGTTTCGGAACATCTGGGTATCACTCCTATCACTGGCAAACAATGTAAAAATCCTCCCAGTCCAGCATTTTCTCACATCTCACATCCACAGGCCACGCTGCTTCTATTGACGACTTCGAAATCCTCTCCTCTTGTTCAGATGAACAAGAACTCCTTATTCATGAAAGCTTTTTTATCTCTAAAATGAAACCCTCTCTCAACGTTCAAGGCAGTTCAATTCCTCTTCACGTATTCTGATCTCTTTTTTATGTTTTGTCTGTTTGTGTTGTCGTCTAATTTGTCTGTTCTCATTTTTGTCCGTCACTTCCCTTCATTATCCTTTCTTATCCTTACGTTTTGTGTACCTCGTATTCGCTTGTAATTTAATATTGCTATGATAACTTTACTTTATGCTTAATTACTCTTACAGCTTGTAATTTAATATAGTCTGAAGATGTATTGAGTTAAGACGAAACGTTACTAAATCTTTAATAAAAATTTTAAATTTAATGGTTTATGGCTCTTTTAAAAGCACTTTGCTGGGCTTTAATATTTAAAAGATTTAAAGAGAATTTTGCATCCATTACACGCCAAAATAAAGACCTTCACTTTCCAGAACTCCCTGTTGATTTATTGGAAAGAAAAAGTGAAGTTTTAGAACTGTGCAAGAACTACCTGAAGCAGCCGTTTAGCAGGGGAGGCTACAAGGAACTTGTCTCTTTAGCCCTTCTTTACCTGAGTGAAGGAAATGAGGTAGAAGCATTAGAAGGCTTTTCATTCAGCAGACCTGGTGCATTACACAAAGCTCGTTGGATGGCAAAACTTCTCTATGCCATTAAAATGGATCTATTGGGTACCAAAATTTTGGGTGAACTTCCAAGAGGTGCTATATTTGCAACTTGTCAGCTCCAGAATATACGTCGTTTTGTTCAGTTTGTTGTTTTCTGTTATATCCCCTGGTGGCTGACAGCACCTGTACCCTCGACTGCACCAAAAAATGATCAACTACTCATCAATTCTCTCATCAACTATAAGGAAATAGATGATGTGATTGCTGTGGCAGCTATCAAGTGTTTTGGTAACCATATGTGGTATCTTACAGAGGAACTTGTACCATTAGCTCTTTTCAGCAACACAATAAATGTTGACATCAAAGAGAAGATGGTGACCAGGATGTTGAAGCTTGGAGAAGGTGGTCTATGTACAAAGAGGCATGGTACAGGGTTTGGAAAGCCAACATTTCCTATGATGCCAACAAAGGTAACAGAAGACCTATCTAGATATGTGGGGATAGATTCTTGGTCTTTTTTCAAAATAATGAAGATAAAACCAGATTTCCTTTGCAAATCTCTAACTGATTGGGAGAGTGATGATGATGGGCACAAAAAAGCTAAGCTCATTGTAAATAGCATCAGTGTGGTAAACGATGCTGCAGAGAGAGGTGTCAAGCTTGGTTACGATTTTCTGGGAACAGCTGTTAAGGAAGAACGCTACCAGCGAGTATTGCAGGTAGTTGAAAACTCCAGACATACACTACCAAATGCAAGAAAGAGAAAATTGTTTTCATCTTCATGGTACCTCACTCTTTAAATTGAACAATGAAACATGCACCAATATTTAAATGTACTGAACTACTAATGATCTTTATATTAATGGTAGATTGTGTAGAACTACAAACTAGTACAGTGCAGAGGATAACATGCCATATTTTACAGTTACTCTACACAATATTATCAATATTAGTAACAAATACGGAAAAATTTAATTGGTTGTGTAACGTAATATAATACAAAAACTGACCAAATGCTCAAATTTGACTGTTATAAAGGATAACTTGTAAAATAAAGCTTTTAGACATATAAAATATTAACATGTGACATAAACTTGGGAATTCTGCATATTTTGATACCAAATTCAAGTCTCTATGTTCATCTTCAGTTAAGATGTTGCACATCTGGGCTATTTTCATTCTATTGTACATGCCATTATAGGAACGGGGCATCTGCTACCCCTAAAAAGTTGTCCAAGCAATTCTAAACTTCACAGTTTTATTACTTAGGATGAACCTCACCAGCAAAAAAAAGGTAGGGCTAATAGTAAATAGTAGAGGCGTATGATGCACCCACGGACCCATATATCTGTTATCTCTCGGCACTCAGTATAGTATGGTCCCATTTTTAGACAAGAACTTGAAAGACTGCTCTTCACTTAAAATTTTTAAAGTAGCACTTAAAAAACATTTGCTTGCAAAAGATAACATTTAGTATAACCAACTAAACTTTGTATTATAGTCTTTTATAATTGTTTAAACTTATATTTGTAACCTTAATTATTACTGCATGCATGCATGCATGCATGTAACTGTAAATAATTTCTGAAAAACCAATTTAGGGAGAAATTTATTAAATATCTATCTATCTCTCTATCTATTTTGTATAGGTAACCCCCCCCCCCCCCCCCCCCGCCCGTGGAGGACGAATTCTTAAAAAAGGCCCTGTATAATTACTAGGCCTTATATTAAAGGCAAAATATAATTACTGTTGAAGTCTTTTGGGCCTTATACAGTGTCGCAGTTTTAAGCGAATGTATTACGTAATTTTCAAAGCAGAGCATGAACACTCGACTTGACTGTTGCGTATTTGTGTAATTGTTCTTTTACAATATGATAACCAGGCAAGAATCTTACGTATACATGTGTCGCTCGGCAATATAAACATGGATAATTTAACTTAAACAAACTTATTGTGTGAAATAGCTGGAAATTCACTTTGCGGGCTTGTAATTTCCCCCAGACCCCCCAGCAAGGCCCGCAAATTTACTTCATCTCAATACCAGCCCCCGCATCTAATCATAAAATTGTGGCTTGTTGATTCTTCTATGTGAAATTTTGTGTTTTAGTTTACATCATGAATTAATTGTAGTACTCAAAAGTGCAAAGAAGAAGAAGTAAATAAATTCGACTCGCGCCAAATTTTCGCCGTGTAAAATCACCTCACAAACACTCAGTTTTTCCATTGCTAATTTGATTGAATCAAACGTTTCAAAATTTAGTCAAAATGTTCGCCAAAACTTGGCCAAAATATCAGAACATCCCCCTCCCCCCACCCCGCCAATGTTAATGACTTTCCATGTCGACTTTAGAAAAAAATAACGAAGTACATGGATCTGATGTTTTTATTTTCGAATTTCAATTTACCTTTTTTTACCAGTTCACCAAGAGAATCTTGTAAGCATCTAATATCACAAACATAGCCATATTCAGCTTTGCTCAGCTAAACAACAACGAGAATAGAAATTTTGCAAATTAGCATTTCGGATCATTTCAGGACAAATTATATTGATCTCAGATATTGAATATAATTAAAATGAACAGTCGTGGCGGCGGGTAAATCATGTTGAATACTGTTATCATATTATACCCATGCACCAAATAAGTTCTTTCCAACTTTGACTATGGTCTTAGCTGTATAGTGTTGGATATCAAAACATATAGATAATATTGGAGAATATACATTTTCATATTTCACTAAATCTATTTTTATTTTTAATATTTGTAGTCCATTTTACCTCAGCGAAATAGATTCAGCGTTTGGCAATATTTGCTGAACATGCAATCAGTAAATATTCTATAGTAACCACACCTGTATGTGATGTTAAATCGATGTGAGCAACGAGAAATCCCAATTTTTAGATTTATATTTTGAAATTATTTTGTTATGTTATTCTTAAACTGATTGAATAAAATCAAGATTCATATTGCATGCTAGCATTATATATAGAGGATATTAGACGGTTGCGAAGAGATATGGATTTTATGTTTGAGTGGCAAAAACAATATCTCACGAGTGAGTGCAGCGAACGAGTGAGATATTGTTTTTGACACGAGAACACAAATCCATATCTTCTCCCAACCGCTTAATGTTCTGTTTATTATATGACAAAAATACACACAAAGACGACATGTAAATAAGCACGCGAAAGACCAGTGTAAAAGCGATATTTTTCAAAATTATAGTGCAAACATGAAATTAGAATAAATTTTAATATATCTCGAGATGTCTTTTAAATATTTTCGTTTTATTTCCAACGTTAATTTCGTTTTAAATACAAACCAAAGACCATTTGTATTTTCAAAACAACTACAATGAAAATGGCGGGAAATTTTCGAACTTCGTATGTCAATAGCAGGGATGAAATGTGGAAAATACGAGCACCTGGTCCCGCATGTAGTGACGTATGAGTTCTACAAGTGTTTTAGTTTCCAGTAAAACACCATTGTCCATATAATAAACATATTTATAATACACTTCCACGAATTTAACCAATCAGTAATCGTTGAGAGGGTCACGTGCCGATCCAATATTTTACGATATTACACAGGAACGTTAATCTATTGTGGCTTTTTTCATGGTTTTTCAACCCTTTTCAGATGTTTTGTCAATTTTAAACATACGACAAGCGTATAGCAGAATAATGGAAATAATTTGGGACATTATAGACCTAACTCTATAAAATCAGTTGTTGCAAAAATCTTGGAGAAGATTATTTATAATCAAATATTTGACATCCTAAAACAAAATTCAATTTTAGCGAACCAAAAATCAGGCTTTCGTCCGCTTCACTCAAATGAAACTACACTCCTACATTCCGCTAACCAATGTATTATTAATATGGACAAATGTCTGATTAATGGCTATTTATTTCTAGACCTCAAAAAAGCTTTTGACACTGTTGACCATAAAATTCTAATTTCTAAGCTAGAACTATGCGGAATAACTTTACACTTATTTCAATCTTATCTCTCTGAATGAAAATAAATATGTAAACTTCAAAATACAATGTCAGACGTTGCTAATGTAACTTGCGGTGTTCCCCAGGGATCAAACCTTGGCCCATTACTCTTTCTGTTATACATTAATGACCTCCCAGTCCCTAATTATCTAAAAGAAACGCAAGCTTCTATGTTTTGTCCACAGAAATCGAAAACAAAATTAGCACGGACTTAGAAAACGTACATAAATGGCCAATTGCCAACAAATTAACATTGAATCATTAATATTTAACGTAATTTGGTTCATTAAAAAGCCAAAGGCCATGCAAAGTCAAGATAAAGCACTGCAAAGTGCAAACAAAACTTCAGTTTTGCATTTTCATTAAATCACTTGTAAAGGACTTTACTCTCAAACTAAATTTGGACTTTACTCTCGGCAATTTTTTTTTTATTCATTTATTCTTTCACTCAGTTTTAAGTGTTTTTGAAGAGACTCAGTATTTGCCGAACTCTTTGTCTATCCAAGTCGTTTGCTTGGTGAAGTAACCAATTAAACATAGATGATTAGAGCATTTCCAGTTGTGAGACATAAATCTTGGAATAGGGCCTATGTTGGCATAAAACATTATTACACTTCCCGAATGAAAAAGTGTATTAATTGAAATACCGTTTGTCTGTTTTCTGGTCGAGAAAACGATCGTGAAATGGCAGTCGCGTTTAATGCAGTAGACGATAACAGACAGAACATATTTTTGACTTTTTTTTAATATTGTTGCTGTTTTCCTTGAATTTTCCAACGTATCATAAAGGAAAGTATTCCTAGTACAGTTTCTTGGTTTATTCTGTATTGCATTGCTTGGGTCCTCGCTTGTCTACATTACAGACGTTTTCAACTATTTGAAATCCGGCTTAGTTTTATTATTACACAGATATGAAATTGGAAACAATTTTTATTGTTTATACTGTATTAACATAATTTGTGTTTCCCTCCCAGATCGAAAGCGTTGCAATAATGATAAAATCAATAAATACATACGCAGTGCCAGTCAGTGGTCTTATTTTACCGTTCATTATAAAAATATCCAAGCTTTTACAGTCTATATAAACTATAGTAAAACACACATGACATTGTTATTGAATATTGACTATTGAGTATTGTGTCTTTTGAGTATTGACTGATTTTATATATCGGCATCGTGATTTTTAGAGTACAATCCATCGTCAATATACAACTGTCTCTACTGTATTTTCTTCAAGAAAGAAAATTCAACCACAACGTACGCAAAACAACATTGAATTATTAAAATGCCTATGCGACAATTTTTCTTATGATTGAATTGCAAAGTTCATTTAAAATCATAACATAACTTGTTTTCTAAAACTTTGTATTCTTTCCTGTATGTCAAACTTTTCGACTTTGTTTGATATACAAATGTGACTTAAATGACGTCACACTTCATAATGAGTTTTTAGAAAGAAAATATTTCCTTGTCAAACATGTGATAATTCCATTGACATTGAAAGTGATATACTTTAAGAGCTATCAAAGCGATCATTTCGTCTGTAAATTTGAGATAATGAGAATTTTAACAAGCTACAACACAGTCTTCTGTAAAACGCATTATGCAGTGTGACGTCATTTAAGTCACATTTCTATATCAAACAAAGTCAAAAATATTTACATACAGGAAAGATTACAAAGTTTCAGAAAACAAGTTATACTATGATTTTAAATGAACTTTGCAATTCAATCATAAAAAAAATTGTCGCATAGGCACTTTAAAGTATACTACGACGTATATAGATAGTAGCGCTATAT